AGTCTCCATTTTAACGGTTAAAAATTATTTTAAAAAAATAATAACCAATATATAATAAAATAAATAAACGAAAATAACTATTATTTTTTATCAACCATATTCCCAAAACTTAAAATTAGATCTGACGATGAAAATTAAATGTTGAGGCGAAGAAACTGAAATTTAGTTGAAAAGCGCTCTTTCTTTTTTAACTCTCAAAAGAATTCAAAATTGATTACTCTTGAATTGAGTTGTAGTGAGGACGAAGTTGGAAATTTCATTCCGCAGTGAGGAATTTTAGCGAACTCTGTGTTAAAATACACTAATAAAAAAAAATTAGGGACGTTTTAAAAAAAGCTAATTAAAGCAAAAAAGCTATCTGCCGTAGACCAAAAAAAGGCAAAAAATTTGCGACAATTTTTTTCGCACTATCTGTTAGGAATGCATGAGAACCTTAGCTGCTAAGGATTTGTAGCCAAGAATCTCAAAGCTCAAAATGACCATTTTTTCCGAAATACAACCAGTTGAAAATCTCCAAAAAATTCACATTTTTTTGGTCCCATAATTTGTTTGATCAGTGTATTTTCTGCCTACATTGAAGGTAAAGCCAAAATGTATTTAACAATGTGTGACTGAATTTGACATTGCTCTCAGAAGAACCATCCTATAGAGTCAAATTGGAAAAAAAATTTATGAATTTTGAATTGTTTGTTTATAGTTTTTGGCATAATAGTATCTTAAAAGAGAGCCGACGTGAGTTGTCAATCACACCTTATTTAATACACTTTGGGTAAAGCCTTACCTACAACAACTTGTGGGGTTCATTTTTTTAAGCTAACGTAGACCCCTGACATTTGGACCACGTTAGGAGTCACTGATCTAATCGCTTTATATTTGTCTTCATCTTAATCTTATTTAGTCTCAAACTTCATCTTTATTTCATCTTAATCTTATTCTTATTCGTAATCTCATTATTTATCTTTATCATAAATTGTCATCTTTATCTTCATCTTCTCCTTAATCTCAATCTAAATCTTTGTCTGAATTTTTATATTTGTCTTTGTTGTTCCCATAAACTTGCGTCTTTGCGTTAGTTTTTATTCCAGTCATTACCATTATCTTTGGCTTTGTCTATATCCTTATGCGAGCCTTCTTCAATAGCATTGGAGAGAGTCATTAATCCCCTAGATATAGACGCGTGTTTGCGAGGAGTCATGTTCTCTGGAAATATTTGAGGGATGAAGGGAGAGGAATATTGTGCCGTTAGAAGGATATCCTCCCAAGTATACGGTGGAAGTAAAATTTTATGCTTTAAAGAAAAAGTCTGATGGGAGATGTGATGATCTCCGAAATATCAGCTATAACTTCTACCGATTACAATTTGTTGCTTTTTCCTAACAATCAATTTCAATATTTTTGGTACAACTTCCGATTTCATGCGATGAACGTGCTGTAGATATGAAAACGTTGTTCTTCATTCTTAAAAAGCTTGTTGTACATAAGTGCATATCGCACACGCTCTTCAAGAGAGAGAAAAATTATAAAAAAAAATTATGTAGATTTTTTCATAAGCCAATTCGTAAAATTTATCTCCAAATAATCCAAATCTCTCGAAGTCTTACAAAGCCCTAGAACGGTGCACGGATTGCAAAGCTTTGCCACAGGAAAATCGTTCTTTACCGCACAATCCGTGCACGGTGCAATGCCTTTGGAAGACCTCGATAGTCCCCCTATTCTCTAATTAGAAAACTACTGTTATTAGCTCTTTTGCAGATCGCGTGAAACATAGAAAAGAATAATCGTACGGCAAGCGAAGCAACTCGGGTTAAGCTGGAAGGAAATCAAAGTGATTGCCAGAAACCAAACCAGATGGCGCGAAGTTGCTGTGCATGCCCTATGACCCGATTTGGAGAGATATCGCAAACATACTTAGATTTTTCTCCCTTCAAACAGGGGCTTGTAATGTTTAGCATCCCTCACATGGACCACAACTGCCATAGCGCCGAGAATCGGTCGACACAACCGTTCACTACCAAGATAAGTCTACTTTTCACATTTTTTTAAGTATGTTTGTATATGCTTTTTATTCAAAGTAAGAGGTAAAGTTTACGCATACTCATTTATTTACTTGTATATGAGTAGAAGTATAAGCTTCTGCTGTAAATTTTTATGAATACAGGCAGGAGGATTTCCTTCCTATTTTGCAAGGATATCCATATGCTTTTCTTTCTGAATACGACCCAATGAAAAGCAAGCAGTCGCCAAATCTTCTACTCGATGGCCAATATTCAATGCTACCCAGCTTCAGAAAAAAACACCGGAGTGGTTTGGAGTGGAGGATTGCGGCACCGCATTGTGTAATCTGATCAAATCTACGCTAGTTGCGTTGTGCGTTGGTACACCATCAGGGCCAGCCTGGTTTGTAGTGCAGATCGAACATGTCTACATTAAAAAGAGATCTATCGAAATGGCGCGACACGCGAAGGTGAAGTCGATGAAGGAATCCTTCCTATACATACATATTTATGTGTAAGGTCTTCACTGTGAGTACTTTTCTCGACATCGAGCAGCAAACGTCAGATGCTTAGATGCGATTGGGGTCAAAGCCAACTTAATTAAGGGTACATATGTGTGTGTACGCGAGTAGATTAACGCCACCATTATTTGGATTGGAGTTGTATACGACCTGTTGGAAAGGCTGAGGGCGAAAAACCCATAATTGGCTTTTTTTTGCTACAAGGCAGGTTATTGTTAAAATTTGAGATCTCTGTTCAGAACGCAAGAGCGGGTACAATATTCTCACTTAGATTGCTTAAATGACTAAGGATTTGGACAATCTAGTGTTCTTTGCGGTTTCGCTTTTATCCTTGTTAATAATGATTGGCTATGCTGGCATCACTGAGTTTTTTTTTCACTCACATCAATTTAAGGTATGAGTTGACGTGTAACAGGAATTGGAAGAGGCCCCTGCAAGGGTGGATGGAAGCTTGGCGGAAAGGTCTTTAAAGAGGTTTTTTGAAGGGAACGCTCCATTAAAATAAAGTTTAGGCGTTCACATTACTCTAGAGTTTTCCAGACAAAGGAAGCTCTCATTAAGTAAGAAGTGGATTTGCTGATCAATTGCGTGACGTCGTCAAGGCAGGTGAACATCTGCGCTGCTAGCAAAGGGGAAATCAAGCGCTTGGGCTCAATCAGTGTGTGCTCAAAGCTAGTGGGAAAAGGCTCTTAGCCTTTCTCTCAATCGAGTCTGATGTTTTCTCAGGCAGAGATATTATTTAGGGTAAAAAGATGTGTTAGAGAGGAAAGACACTCTTGAGTCGGTCTCACCATGAAAATGGAAGAGGGAGCGCCTTTGACTATATGGGAAGGACGCGGAGGTGTCTCGGTTCAGCTCAGCAAACGCTAGGTTCCTAATAGAACGCCCTCTTGGCCCCAACTTCAACACCGGCTTCATACTGCACAATGCAGTTTATTGATTCCTTCCCTCACAATCGAGCTCATATAAAGCTGAGTTCAACATCTGCTGGATTATAAGCTCAGCATCCCAACCACACCAGCTGAAAATATAGCCAAGATTTTATTTCTGCAGAAGTGGCGGGACGTTCTCAATCGAATCCATTGTTCTGCCATCAAGCGTCGGCCGAGCATATCTCCGGGGCGAAAGTCAGATGCTGACAGTGAAAGTTCATAAAATCTTGTTATCGAAGCAGTTCCTCGTGAGAGGTCATCGGCCAAACCACAATAACCAGGCACAAGCGGTGATCGACACTGTCCATGGCGATACTGGAACTGCAATTGCCTAGATCTATTGGGCTATTCAGGATCTTGTATATATTCTCTTGCATTTGCATATTCGTTGCGTTTATAAATTCACAACAATAAAATGCACACGGTTGCCATGGCAGCAAGCATAAAATTTGCAAATTCATTTCCAACTGCAAATCCAAGACCATTTCCACAACATCCTGAACAGCCCTTATATCTAGTCGTGGCAAAAGTTTTTATAATTTAAATAAAACGCACCTTGTATTTTTTGTATTCATTTACAGCACTGGCCAAGGCGAATTCAGGTTGACGTTTAAAAACAGCTGACCACAACTGTCATTTGGGCTCCATAATAAATTCTTTTTGGGTTATGTAGTGATTTTTGATTACGATATTTTTATTTCCAAATTAAATAAAATATTAATAAAATCAAAGACAATGAGCTCATTGGTGCGACGATTTGCACAGTTTAGCCTTACACAACGGAACTTGTTACAAAATTCACTTAAAGTGCTAGTGCCGGCAAGTAATAGCGTACATACCTCGGATGCACTAAACTCCAAATGGAATAAGGCTAATCATGGACCCCGCAAATGGCTAGAATATAATAAGACCATTCATCCGCCGCAAAAGCCTGACGAGGAGCCACGAAAAGCGGTAAGTTATTTATGATTTGGATTATAGTTAATATTAGTAATTTGACCATTTATATTTACCCCTCCTCCGTCATATCACAGTACATTTGTCATTTGCGTACCAACATTAAATACAGTCCGGATAAGATGTGGTATATCGCTTCGTTTGTACGTGGCATGTCGGTTGATGAGGCTGTAAAGCAGCTGAGCTTCGTGCTGAAAAAGGGCGCCACACACGTTAAAGAAGTGATACTTGAGGCACAGGAAATGGCTGTGCGCCAGCATAATGTTGAATATAAAAGTAATTTATGGATTGGTAAGTAATAGCTTTTTTTTCGAAGCTATTTCAAAGAAATCGATTTATGTATTTGCTTTCTACAGCTGAATCTTTTGTGGGCAGAGGGCGTTATTTTCGTGGCATGCGACGTCATGCGCGTGGACGTCAGGGCATCGTACAATATAAACATTGCCACTATTTCGTACGACTAGAGGAAGGCGAACCACCAAAAGACTATTACCTACCCGCACCCCAAACACCCGAACAACAATTCGATAAATGGATTGAACAAATGCGCAGCCGCAAAGTCATCAACTCTCTTTAAAAAGTTTAGGTTTATCAAATGTTGTTTAAGAGATGCAATACAGTGCGTTTAATATAAAATATTGAAATTGATTAAAAATTTAACTAAAAATTAATCTTGTAAAATATTAGGCGTCGGCTAAGATTTCAGATATTAAAGTTTCTAAACCATCTATTGAAATAATTGTGCTTTCGGGTTTATACGCCCGTGCGAGTTTTGCAAGCGGTACGTCAAATTCGCTATCTTCACTCTCACTTTGTTGTTCCATTAAAACGTTCCCAGCAATTTTTAAGGCATCGTCTTCTCGTTCTCTTAGTAGTTTGTCCAGTGTTTTGTTAACCGCTATACCACTAAATTTTGCAAGATTCGAAATAATTGATTGACCAGCATCCTTTCGTTTTTTTCGCTTCCCTGGAAGCTTTTTAGTTTTTTCTGTTATTTTACTTGTATCTTCTGTTGCTGGTCCGTGGTGCACGCGTTTTAAATGCTTGGCCAAGTTTTGTCCACTACTGAAAACACGTTCACATCCTTCAACGCTGCAATCAAATCGTTTGCCATCGTGGGCAATACGCATGTGTTGTCTCAGATTTCGTTCGTAAGCATAGCTAAGATCACAGGTTTGGCATTTAAAAATCATTTTTTGCTCTTCATCAACATGCTTTGCACCTATGTGCTTCCGCAATTCACTCGGTCTGTTATACACACGCTCACAATGCTCGCACCGGTAATATTTGCGCCCATGTTGCTTTTCTTTGCAATGCTTCAGATACAGCGTCCATTTATCGAACTTTGTGTTACAGTTTGAACAAATGTATACTTTACAAACGGGGGCATGCCGGTCATGTTGCCATTGCTGGTAAAACCCTCTTGAGCACTTCTTGCAACTAAAAAGAAATAATCAATTTTAAGTTCTGCCATACTAAGTGTGTGTTTATCTTACGTGTAAGGATATTTTTCCGTGTGTTTTTGAATCTCATGCCTCCGCAATTTTAATTTTTGTGTGAACTTTTCTGAACAAAATCCGCATGTATAGATTTTTGGATTTTCGTGTACCTCTCGTATATGGCGAAGCATATTGGTCTCAGTCTGGAACATTTTCAAACAACCAGGTACTTGACAAGATACATTCTTCGTAGGCGGCACAACACGTTCATGCGTTGTACGCAGATGACGCTTCAAGTGCGTCAATATCGAGTAGACCTTATCGCAACCGTCATAAAGGCAATGATGTTTTTTCTAAAACAACATATATAGTTAGCAACAATAGCCTTCTTGTTGGTGAGCAAGACTTACTATTCCGGTGTGATGGAATTCATGTCGATCTAGATGATCCAGCCGTTTGAAACTTTGGCCACAACACTCTATGCTGCAAAAATATTTTGGTCCAGTGCTACTACGGCGTGGCTTAGGTGCATTTTTAAAAGAGATAACACTTTCCAAATCACTGTCAGAGTTCACAAAGCTTCCCGGAGACATTTTTACAAAATTATATCAAGTATATATAAGCAAAAGCAAAGATATTGTATGTGTTTACAAAATTCACGTGAAAAGTGCGAATGTCAACAAATAAATTTCTACAAGCCAGTGTTGAAAAGTGACGATTGCTGTAGGCGATAAATTAAATGATCCCTAGTACAACTCCACAATACGCTCTTCAGGTGTTCCGCGCTTTCATGCTTTCAGCTATTACTGAATGCTTTCAGCCAAGATAAAAAGGTAAATTCATTATCTCAATTCGTCGGCCATGATTGCAAGCATTTTAAAATAATATAAAATTGAAAATAAAAAAATTAAATTGTTCACCAATTGTTGGCAATTATTGTTGAGATTGAAAATGAGAATGTGTATGTGAGATTGAGTTTTAAATTTTTAAATTATAATGCTGGCAAACGTCAAACTGCCTCCCAATGGTTTTACCTTGTTATATTTTTATCATATTTTCAGCTACACAATTCGGCTATTACTGAAAGCAGAGAAATTTTCGGAGCAGATTCACATTTTTTATTAAATAGTATTAGGAAAATTTTTTACATCTTTAGGTACCTTTTCAGTTCATCAATTTTTTTCTATACTAACGCACTATTAGCATATGTATATAAGCGTATATGTATATTACAGGTAGGTTTTCAATTCATCAATCGATGAGCTCAATCTCTAGCTAGTACTCAAAACAAACTTTCCATCAATAACTTTATGTTCTAAAAAAAAAATAGTAAACTGTCTGTTGGCGTATAAATTTCTGACTTTTTGTTAGTACAAATCGGAGCATATTTTAGGTTAGCGGAGTACGACTTCATTTTAAACTTAAAAAGAAATCGCACTAAAGCTACTCCGATCGGAGCAGAGTCCGGACGCTTGTCTAAACTCGATTCCGAAAAGTCGAGTTTTTTTTTAGCAAAAAGTTCATTTTTGACTTGATTCGGTGTCGACTTTTCCATCTCTAAACGAAAGCCGAACTAAAAGGGGGAGTAACTAAAAAGTGAAAATCAGAAAAATCTGCTTTGATAGTAATTTAGACGAAATTTGAGTGTTTATTTCTGTTAAAATGGAGTACGAAAGTGTTTTGATTGTTAAGCCAGAAGTATTTATTTATAAAATCCCACCACGCGCTAGCAACAGAGGTTACAGGTAAGCAATTTCCTCGGTGCTCCAGCGTGAAAAGTGTGTTCGTGGAAAAATTGTTCGTTCCCCATTTTCTTGCCTGCTATTATTTTTTTTTTGTTTTTCATTGCCACTGCCAGCAGGAAAGACAAAGAATCAAAAGTAAAGTTGAAAATTGTAATTATCAGCAATGGACCACGTCAACGGCAGTATGGCAAAACCAATCACAACGAATTGGGCAAATAACTTCCTTGAGGTGGTCATTACGAAAACATAATTGCTTGTCCTTTGGTGCAATTTCCCTCGTACAAGGTTAAACTTTCAAGTTCAATTGCAATTGATTTTTCAGCGGCAAATCATTAATTGGCCAACTTCGCAAATTTTTTTATTACCAACTTTTATAAAATAATGCTTATCTATCACTTAAAATTAAATTCCCAGCGAAATTTTTTAACTGTTTCGTTAAAATATGTATATGTACATTAAAACACGTAAAAAAAATCCTGCAATGTGACAGGAATAGGACTCAAATTTTAGCATTTGGTATAGTAATGATCCTCCATGGATCTCATCTCTCCAGGACAATTGTAAGATGTGCCGCCGCGAGCCTTTAGTTTTACCGTAGGAATTACATATAAGAAAATGAGTTCTTGCTTTTTGAGGTCAATATAATTTTCTAGGATCAATGAAAGCGCTCGAAACTTTAAGAATACATTGATTACATGCCATTTAAGTATTTTACAGGCTCAGATTATTTAAATTCCCAAATAATCCTTTTTTAATCCCTTGTCCTATTTGGAGGTGAGATTCATGGAGAATCATTGCTATACCAAATGCTAAAATTTTAGTCTTATTCCGGTCGCATTGCAGGATTTTTTTTGTTTTTTTGACGTGGTCTACTGTGCATACATGATTTTGTTGTTAGCAAAACTCCATCTCAAGACTTCAACTTTTAACTACTCTGATCATTCAATAACAGAGCTGCAGATTGGAATCTTGGCGAACCCACATGGACTGGTCGCATGCGTTTAGTGGCCAAAGGTACAGCTTGCAACCTAAAACTGGAGGATAAAGCAACAGGAGCGCTTTTTGCCAATTGCCCAATTGATACATATCCAGGTGTTGCAATAGAAGCGGTTTCGGACAGTTCGCGATATTTCGTAATACGTGTACAGGATGATAACGGTAACTAGCTTGCAGTAATTCAAGTTACAACAAGCTCACCTTAATGACTACCATTTGGTTTCGTGCTTTTTAGGTCGCTCTGCTTTTTTGGGTCTAGGTTTTGGTGATCGTTCGGATTCATTCGACTTAAATGTAGCGCTGCAGGATCACTTTAAGTGGGTGAAAAACCAAGAACAAATTGAAAAAGAAAAAACAGAGCCTAAGCAGCAGCTTGATTTGGGTTTCAAAGAAGGCGAAACCATTAAAATTAATATGAGAATAACAGTAGGTGTTTGAAACTTTAATACGCGTTTGGTAGGTGCTAAAATATTTTTCTCATTTCGTGTTATAGAAAAAAGATGGTTCAGAGGGCACTGCTCGCACTGGCAAAACTAAACCATCGTCTGGTATTTTACCTCCACCGCCAGGCGGTGTTGGAAAGATCGCGCCACCACCATCAAC